CCAGGCTCTGAAAATCCATTTTGCTGAGACTTCCCACCAGTGCAGGAAGAAGGAAAGCCAGCTTTCTCCCCCAGGGAGGCAGGAAAGAAAGAACTTAGGATGCTGTCAGAATTGTTTTGTGTATCAAAGCAGGGACTTCCCCAAAGGCAAATGGGAAATGGGAAAATGCAATAGCATTTGTAGGTATGAACTTACCTTGCAGGTATCTGAGTGAGAAATATTAACATGTTATCACTTAGGAGCAAGGTGTGAGCATCTATAGATGTTTACAATCCGCCAGAAGCCCAGGCAGTAGGGTAGAATTCTAAGTGGAGGGTGTGGTGATATGGAAGAAAACGGCTCCCAAAAGAACTATTAGGGAGTGTGGCTTTGTTGGAATACGTATGTATGGCCTTGTTAGAGGAGGTGTGTCACTGTGGGGGTGGGCTTTGAGGTCTCATATATGCATTCTTAAGTCACTCCCAGTAACTCAGACCACTTCCTGTTGCTTGTGAGTCAAGATGTAAGAACTCTCAGCTCCTTCTCCAGCACCATGTCTGCCTGTGTGCTGCCATGCTTCCTGTCATAATGATAATGGACTAAACCTCTGAACTGTAAGGGAGCCACCACAATCAAATGTTTTCCTTTCTAAGAGTTGCCATGGCCATGGTGTCTCTTCACAGCAAGAGAAACCCTAACTAAGACAGAGGATATAATGATTGGCTATGGCCTTGGAGTTCAAGGTGTAGCTTAGCACTCTTCTTCTTCTACCTTCTCTTCCTCCCTTCCTCCTCTTCCTTCTCCTCTTCTTCTGTCTCTACTTTTGGATTTTGAGACAGGATCTCACTCTGTAGCCCAGGCTGGCCTGGAACTTGTGATTCTCTTGCCTCAGTCTCCTCAGAACCAGAATTATGGTACTCATTTCCTTCCATGTCTTGATTCCTTTGGCACTGCATTGAAATCCTATATGCCTGCTTGTCAAGAAAAGCAGGGGATAAGGTGTGCTGGAGAGATGACTCAGAGGTTAAGAGTACTGGTTGCTCTTTAGAGGACTTGGGTTCAATTCCCAGCCACCACATGGCAGTTTACAACCATCTGATATCCTCTTCTGACATCTTTGGGCACCAAACATGCATATGGTACACATACATATATGCATGCAAAACACTCACCCATGAAATAAAATGAATAAATCTAGTAATTAAAGAAAAGGACGAAAAGAAAAACAAACAAGAAGGCAAACAAAAGCTACCAGATGCTGTCAAGGAGCTGAAGCCGTGCAAGGTCAGGGCCAGCAGGGTCCTGACACATGGCAATGGGGCTCACTAAATGCTAGCATTAGAAATGGAACCCATGCTGGAATCGCTTTCCAGGGCTTGATGTCACGCTAGTGCTTTTCTGTCCTGTTTCGGAATTAGAACCTTCCCCGATTATGCTCCCAGGAGAGTTGGAGGTCATGCTGTGGCACAGCATGTATTACTGTATCTCAGGTTCCTCCACGTGGCTCTGGGCTCAGTGAACTGAGGATTTCTGCTTTCCACTATTTCTGTTCTCTTCCTCTTTTTCTCTGGCACCCTCTATTTCCTCCACTCATGCTTCTCCAACTCTGGTCCGATCTCCACTCCCATTCAGTCTGGACCTGGCCTCCTTTGTTTGCAGATCAGTATAGATGTGCCCATGGAATTTGATTGCCAGGTTTAATTTTTCCATCATATGGCTCTACTCTAGGATAATGTTTAGTCCATTATCATGGCAGGAAGCATGGCAGCAAGCAGGCAGACAGGGTGCTGGAGAAGGAGCTGAGAGTTCTTACATCTTGACTCACAAGCAACAGGGAGTGACTTAAGAATGCAAGTCTTTGCAGTTGAAATTCTCAACTCAGACAAGACCCTAATGGGTTCACAGTATTTATGACAGGAATTCCACAATGCACTTCTATTAGAGTAAGAAAGCAAAGCGATGCACTTTCGTCTGCATCAATGAGTTGTGAGCAGACAATTGTTATTTATATCTGTCTTTTGGTCTATCTCAGTCATATAACATCTCTATTTCCTTAGACTGCCCTTGTTCAGCCTGTTGCATCAAAGAATTCAATAGCATCCTTTCTCTCTCTCTCTCTCTCTCTCTCTCTCTCTCTTTCTCTCTCTCTCAAACATTCCATGATTTGGAAGATGTATTGTAAAATCATCTCTTCCCATCTTTGGAATGATGGCTATCTAGGCTTCTTTACAAATACAGACAAGAGGATTGATTACCAGGCAAATGTTTTTCTTTTCTTTTCTTCTTCTTCTTCTTCTTCTTCTTTTTTTTTTTTTTTGGTTTTTCGAGACAGGGTTTCTCTGTGGCTTTGGAGCCTGTCCTGGCACTCGCTCTGGAGACCAGGCTGGCCTCGAACTCACAGAGATCCACTTACCTCTGCCTCCCGAGTGCTGGGATTAAAGGTGTGCAGCACCAATGCCCGGCTGCAAATGTTTTTCATTACAGCATAATCACAAGAACTGGGAGAAGGCAAATCCAGCCGAAGTCTCGTTTCAGAAACGATGCTTCAAAGAGTATTTTTTTATTTCTTTCCCTGTAGTGCAAACTAGAAGTGTTTTAAAAACCATATATCAAGTAGTGTTTTGGAAAACATGAAGGAAATGTGCTACACAATTTACATTTTATGTGGTCAACCCTTGCTCAACGGAATAAATACGAGTCAAGCTAAAAATACCCTAGGGAACCACAACACATAGCATATATCATACATCTCTGATGCTTTTGAAACCTCCTTTCTTTTTCTCACCTTGCTCTGTGTTACTGAGTAGACTGTCTCTCCTACAATGAGGTGTGAATGAGAAGGCTAATAATACCTTGAAGGAGCTGGTAGCACCTCTTCATCCTAAAACTGTGCAGCCATGTTCAAATACTACCGAATGCATCCAAGGAGCTGGGATGAGAATGTCTTAGCTTGGTAACGTGAGCTGTCTATATCTGAGCAGCTGAGTACCACATGGCATCACACTGCATTGCTGAGAGAGGTCTACAGTAAATAGGAAACGGCATGAAGCATATGTGGCTGGCACAGTCTGCCCTGCCAGTGGAACCACACCTGCATCTGCAGGTGTAAGTGCTGTGTGCTCAAGACAGACCATCTATTCGACTTGTAGCCTTCACTTCTGGAGACATTATTCCTTGGTATGCATTAAGCATTCACGGACCCTCCTTTTCCTACTGTCTAATGGAGGGCACAGGTTGAAGGAGAGGCAGTGGAAATGCTACCACCTGGCTCCAGGACTAAAGAGAAAGATGGCAATCCTAGAGTAGAGACATCCTACCAGGAAACAACAGGCAGTCAAGGGTTTTTTAAAAATCAGACGTCTTGCAGTAATCAAGGCAGATTTTTTTTTATAGGAAGTAATGAAGAAAAGGTAAGAGGGTAAGGCATGATGACACATGCCTTTAATCCTAGTTTAACTGGTGATGGGGGCAGGTGAATATCTGAATTCCAGTCTACACAGTGAGTTCCAGGTCAGGCAGCATTACATAGTGAAATTCTGTCAAAAGTTAAATATTTTAAAAGAGCTTATTCATTATAGCATGGTCAGACCTCAAGATTAAGGAAATCTCTCAGCCATAGCACACTCTAAATTACACCTGACTACTCAGAAAGACAGTAATTTATAACCAGTTATTTGTCTTTGACATTCCACCTACTCACATATTTGCATATCTTAAGACCTATAGAGCACAAAGACATTTGAATGAAACCCACCCTCTGTTATTGTAGAATGATATGTAATTTATTCATATACCGACAGTTAGGCAGTACTCAAAATTCATTTAGGTAAGCAAGTGATTACACAAACATCTAATAATACTAAAATCGATAGTCCCAAAGTATAAAATACCATGGTTATGAAATACCATGGTAAATACTATTCAACAGACTACAATCATAATTCCAAACTAAATCACATTTTAAAGAAGATGATTCTTAGCAGTTTGAGGATGATCTTGTTTTTCTTCTCCCAAGCACCTTCTTCCACTGTTGTAAGGATGCCAATTTCAAGAAACAGTGCACGGTATCATTGCTCAGGTTCCTGTGTTGTAACACGTTTTCTTGCAAATAAAAATTTTAAAATATTGCCCCTCAACACAGAAAACAAACCAGTCAGCCCTCAATCCCCTAAGCAAATATGCTGGGTTTGGGGTAGTGCTAAGGGCTAAGTCTGGGTTTAGGAAGAGGCAGGCAGTGAGAAACCCTTTGCAGCCTTGGAAAGATATGGCTTCTTTTCTGAGGCTCCAAGCATCATACACACACTTAGACATCCAAGCCATGAGGTGACGGGAATAAAATAAGTTTCTATCCTGATGACTACAGCACAGTTGCAACTGTGGCTAAGTTAGGCTACAGGTCTGCAGGATTCCACATAAGGATGGCTCCTAGTTAAGCTAATTTCTTAAAGCCTCATTACATTTTCCTGAAGTGCAGTTATATGTGCAGGAAGAGTTTGGCTTATCATGTGTCTGTCTGTCTATTTTAAAGTCTTATACTTTACCAGAATGAGGTCCAAGCCTGAACCTGGCTTGAGAAGCTAGCAGCAGTCCTCACGAAACATTTTAATAAATATGAACACAGAATGAGATTCAGTTAAATCTCTTATGTACAAATTACAGCTAGAGAATTATTACACATTTTTAATATTGAATGATGAAGCGGGGGTGGGGGAACAAAATCTAAAAAAATAGAAAACTTTCTCCATACATGGGTGTCAGGGACAGATACTAACACTGCATAATGCCGCAATATGAGCAGTCACTCAGAAATAGTTGTATTTGGGGGATCTTGGAATTGTGACCAAGAGATGAAAATACTGTACCAAAAGGCATGCGTATGTATATGTATATATATATATATATATATGTATATATATGTATAATTACTATGTGCATTCAGTGTGTGAGCTGTCACCTAAGCAGAGATCTAAGACAACAATGAGGCAGTGTTCTTGGGGATCCGTTGAAACCCGGCGTGGGCACTACATGTTGATCAAACCCTCAGATGCAGCAAAATGTGGGCACAGCGCCATGTCTGGATTCTGCAGCTGTTTTATGATCCTCTTGCGGAATTTCTCCCGCACTCGATTAAATTCCATTATGTCCATGGGGTCCTCCTCAATCCAAAACTTGTGAAACTCATGCATCAAATAACCTGTTAGGGACAAGACAGTGAGAAGACTGCAAGAGAATCGTCCCTAGTCACATTACAAACCACTGTGGATGAGTTCGACCAAAGCAACAGTCTCCTCGGAGTTCACAGGAAACACCAAGATTTAGTACGACCAGTAGAGTAGAAGCTCCCAAGCTGCCTATGTTGTTCTTTTTCCTTTTGCAGCTACTATTAGAGACATTTTCAGTTCCACAAAGCAGGGGAGCCAATGGGTTCTGTTCTGTCACCTCTTGAACAAGAATCACAGTGGGAACATATTCTTTTTTCTTTTTTTTGTGTGTGTATAAAAAAAGTAGTGTGGTGTGTGTGTGTGTGTGTGTGTGTGTGTGTGTGTGTGTGTGTGTGTGATAGTTTCTTTTCTTGACCAAACACAGCTCAAGGAAGGAAGAGTTTATTTCAGCTCACAGTTCAAAGTATAGTTTGTCATGTCAGGGAAATCAAGGCTGGGGAAGCTCCATGCAGCTGATCACGTCCCATCTGGGGTCAGGGAGAAGAGAGCAATGAAAGCTTGGCTTCATTTCTCCTCTCTGTTCAGTCTATTACCTCAGCCCATAGAATAGCGTCACCCACAGTGGGCAGGCCTTCCCATACCGGTTAGCTGCAACTAGAATCACCTAATTTTTTGAGAAGGGGACTCTCATTGGCTGTTGGCTCACAGATTTGGTTAGACTGACTGGCCAGTGAGTCCCAGGTATCTGTCTCCCTAGTACTGGAAGTATAACATGTGGATAACTTGCTATGTAGATCTGGGGATCCCCGAACTAGGGGACTCATGCTTGCTTTAGCAAGCATGTTAGGGATTGAGCTTGCCTTCCCAGTTCCTGTTTTTGTTTTATTCTGTTTTTTTTTTTCTTCAACTTTTCTTATTTGAATTAGAAACAGGATTGTTTTACATGACAAGCCCAGTTCCCTTCTCCCTCCCGTCCTCCTCTACCGCCCCCCCCAACTAAAACCTTATCTGTCACATATCCTTTCTGCTCCCCCTGGATGGTGAGGCCTTCCATAGGGGGTCATCAGAGTCTATTGTATCCTTTGGGATAGGGCCTAGGCCCACCCCCATGTGTCTTGGCTCAGGGAGTATTCCTCTATGTGGAATGGGCTCCCAAAGTCCACACCTATGCTAGGGGATAAGTACTGAACTTCTACAGAGGTCCCGTAGATTTCTGAGGTTTCCTCACTGAAACCCATGTTCCTGGGGTCTGGATCAGTCCCATGCTGGTATCCCAGCTATCAGTCTGGGGACCAAGAGTCCCCTGATGTTCAGGTCAGCTGTTCCTGTGGGTTTCACCAGCCTGGTCTGGACCCCTGTGCTCTTCACTTGTCTCTTAATTTTTTTTTGTGTTTATGCGTGTTTGCCTGTTAAGCATGTATGTATGTGTACCACATGCCGAGGTGTCCCTGGGAGGTAAGAAGAGGGCACTGGATCCCCTGGAACTGGAGTTACAGTTGTGAGCTACTATATGGGTGCTGGAAATCAAAATCTGGGTCCTTTGGAAGAGCAAGCAGTCAGAGCTCTTAACTATTGAGCAATCTCTCCAGCTCAGCTTTGATTTTTGGTTTCATTTGTTCATTTGTTTCTTCCTTCCTTCCTTCCTTCCTTCCTTCCTTCTTTCCTTCCTTTCTTTCTTTTGAGACAAGGTCTCTCTATGTGTCCCTGGCTGGCCTGGAATTTTCTCTGTAGACCAGCCTGGCCTCTGATTCACAGAGGTCCACCTGCCTCTGCCTCCCAAGCGTTGGGGTTAAAGCGTGTGACCCATTCACACAACACACCCCTCTCATTACTACTCTCATTGCACGTGTAGGCACACTCATATTTTTTTAAGAACTCAGTCACTCAAGCGTAGGAGAAAAGGTTGAGGGAGTAGCTATTTTTACATTTGTTTTGGGTTGTCTATTCTGTTTCATTTCTTCTCTCTCTCTTTTTTTTCTTTCTTTTGACAAGGTCTCTTGCAGCCCAGTCTGGCCTTGAACTCACTATGCTACAGATGGCTTTGAACACCTGTCTGACTCTTCTGCCCCCGCCTCCCAGTGCATTACCTGGTTTATGTGTTATTAGGGATTGAACCTAGCGCTGGTGTGTGTTAGGAGAGCACTCTACCAAGTGAACTACATCTCCATCGCTGTCCCGTTTCTTTCGGGGCAATGGACAGGACTGCTGCTGAACATTTCTGATGGAGGCATTCACTCCCTTGCCCAGCTGGCCTTGAGGCTACCCAAAAGCTGACTACCAGGAAAACTGCAAATCAGATCCACCCATCACCCCAGGAGCTGTCTTCTCTGTTTCCACTCATCTGGCCCTTGGATTCCCTGAGGGGTCCCAAGGCTGATTCCAGGCTTGGGCATCTCTAGGAACAACATTGACAGTTACATAGTTTGATTGCAATAAAAATGCAGAAATGGTGACCTGGCTTCTAAAGTAAATATTATGATCATAAAACTCTACTCATTTATGTACTATTGCATGGTATTTAAATATTCATTTGGCCAGATATCTGCTCAACTCCTCTACCAATTATATGTGCAACAGATACACTGTTAGGTGCTGAGGATGGAGAAAAAAGTAGAGTTCTCATGTTTCCTAATTCTCTGTCTCTTGGAGAGAGAGAGAGAGAAAGAGAGAGAGAGAGAGAGAGAGAGAGAGAGAGAGAGAGATGGATATTCAATTTCTGACAATGATTTGTTAGCTGAGAAAGCTAACAAAGTAGTGTAGCAAGGGGAGGGAGAAAACGGAGTCAATCTATTGTCTCTAGTCTTCAATTTCATTCATTCCCTGGCACTGTAGGATGGCCAAGCAGATTATATATCTCAGCCTTACAGATGTGGACACTGGGTTCAGCCAGGAAGCTTGAAAAGTGCATACTCCCACAGTTAACACCTGGAAGCCAGGTCTGAAACAGGCGTCTTCTGATTGTTGCTATAGGTTGCTGCCTTTGGTGCTTATTTCTATGTTAACAGTGCTCTCTCTTGAAGGTCAAAGAACAGATAATCTGCCCCCTCTTCTGTGCTTGTTCTTTTCTCTGCTCACTACACCTAATCTTACCCCATCACAGTGGGGTCATGTGTTCAGTGGAGCTTTAGATTGGATGGCATTTTTGTAACACGGTGCTTTGCCATGCAGCGTTCACTGACTAAGACTGTAGAGTCAGGACGATAGAGCCATTACATTCTTATTTCCTTTTCTCTAAATGAAATACTTGTTTTGAATACTAATTTGGCTTGCCATCTGAAGCCTGCTGCATATTTATTGCTGCTCAAATGTGCTTGGATTTGCTTCACTACATCCTGTTAGTAGAGGGCAGAGCCATGTGCAAGGACACAGATAATTACAAGAATATTAACAGAGGAGATTGCAGAAGTGACCATGCCTGATGGAGGGACACCCAGGCTCTCTGACCATAACCTAATCCATTGGTGATTGCTGCTTTCTAAAACCCAAAAAGTGTCTTGGGAAATAAGATGTTCTGCTTCATGCTTCTGATCTGGGCTAGGACTCTTCTGAAAAACCTATCAACTGGGTAAGGCTAAAATATTTCCAAATTAGCTACACCCTCTTTTTCCCTGAAAAGAATATCCTTCAATATTTCAGTATCTTATCTGTCCATCCATCTATCCATATAATCATTCTATCCACCCATCCATCCATAGAGTTACTAGACACTCTACTAGGCTGAGAATATAGCAATGAATGAAACATCTCCTCCTACCCTTACATGCCAATTCTTCTTGGTTTTAACTCTGATTCTTTCCCAGGAGATGTCATCTGCTATGCGGTTCTGATTTTTGACTTCAAGTAGATGAATTAAAAGTCTGTAGGCAGAGCCCTTCTAACCCTTCAGAGCTCTATGGTTTCTCATAGGAATGTCCATTTGTGGCTCCAAATAGATTTCCCCAAAGGAATTTACCTTCAGTTTGCCTCAAATTAAGCTCATCCTATTTTCCCTACTATCCTATTATAAGAGCTTCCCTGATTTCCCCCAAGAAAGATGGAAACTGTAGAATAGGAAAGCATAAAAGGCTAACAAAAACATACAGCCAGACAATTTATTTGTTAATAGCTATGCTTGAGCTCTCCAACATGGCTCCAAGCTAGTCAGGATCGATTCCAAATTCTTCTCATAAATTTCCTGTATCATATGTAATCATAACCTCTCAAAATCATATCTAATCATAACCTCTGTACCATATTGTTTGGATCTGCTGTACACTCCTGTCTTATGGCCTGTGTCCTTACCACTTCTCTGGCTGGATCACTCAGCCCCCATTGCTGTACTTTCTGCCACCCAGCCTTTGGTTTTCACTGGAAGTAGCATTTGCCTTAGGGTGCTCTCTCTGCTTCAGACTCAGTGGGTGATGATGGCCATGTGCCTTGCAGCATTTTAAAACAGTATCTTTACTTCTGGTGTATTGTACTTTTTTTTTTTTTTTTTTTTGATTCCAGGCTTCCTCAGTATAGACCCTGATCTGCAGTAAAACCCCAGTAATATTTTTGGGGGAGATAGAAATGTTACAGGACTGACTGTAATCACCCACTTGTCAAAATGGGAGCTATAAATGTCAGGTGAGGAACTTAGATTTTTCCACTAACAGGTTATAAACACTTCTTTAAATATCTTTTTCATTTTTTCCAGTTATACTTGCATCTTTTGGCATCAGATAGCTTAATATGTTTTGACAGAAAACAAAGCACCATGAATGTGGTAGCTTCTCCTATCCCAATCCTTGCTCTATAGTCACTCCAGCTAAGCCTTCTGACTGCCAAAATCTGTAGCCCCACACAGTCGGCATTGCTTTTCTGGGCTGGTTTTTAAACCCCTATTTACAGAAGAGACTGGTTTATCCCCTGTTTACAGGCCCAGTCACACTCTATTCCTTACTGTTTTTAACCCAGGACCAAATGCCTACTTTGTTCATTTATTTAGTTTTCCATTTAATTTAACCACAGACCACTTTTCCCTAAGGATGCCAAATGCATCCCAGATGTGATCAAACATGGTAGACGTTTGTTCATTTCCAGAGCTTGATCAACATCCAGATCTGTTCAGCCTATTGCATGAGGCCCACCTTGGGAGGGCCCCTTTCTTTACCCAAGGATTCCCCTCACTCTCCTGGAAAGACTTCCTGTTGTCTTCCTGGAATTACTCTCTTATTTTGTAGAAACATCATATTTTCAGGAGTTTCCTTATCAAGTTATAGGGAAGTAAAATATTTAAGACCATGTATTTAGAAAAAAAAGTCTGTCCTATTTTGAAACTCAATACTCAATTGATAAGTTAGACTGAGAATATAATTTGAAATTATAAATCATATTCCTTTTATGCCATCTTAAGTTTTTGTCCTCATTATCCATTGTGTTTTAGAATAAAAGGCTGCTCCAGAGAAATCCAGTGTAGTTTTGATTCTGAAGTTTATGAGTGACAGACAGTTTCAGAAATTTTCAGAATCATCTCTTTGTATTGCCATAATATCTCACAGTGATGTAGACTTTGGTTTGGTAGATTTTAATCTGTTATATGGGTTTTTGTAACTTAAAATATAAAAATCTGTCCTTCGGGCCTAATGTTTTATCACATTTTAAATTTACTTATTTATTAGCCTCTCTCTCTCTCTCTCTCTCTCTGTGTGTGTGTGTGTGTGTGTGTGTGTGTGTGTGAGACAGAGAGAGAGAGAGAGAGAGAGAGAGAGAGAGAGAGAGAGAGAGAGAGAAACATGTGTAAGGAGGTCAGAGAACAACTTGTAGGTGTTGGTCCTCATCTTCCATCATGTAGGTCTTGGGGATCAATCTCAGATCTTCAAGCTTGGCAAATGCCTTCACCCACAAAGCCATCTTGGTGGTCTGATTTTTTTTCTTGATTTATAGATTTGTTTTCTTTCCCTGAGTTTCTCCTTTTTGTGACATCCCCCCTCTTCAGATAGGAGACTTCCCACAATGGCCTTTTCACGTTTCAACCTTTAGTTTTTACTTTTCATCAGAACCTTTTGATCTACGTTCTAGGCAAGTCTTTCAACCTTACTTTCTAATCTTCTCGTGAATTTCATTTCTGTCAAAACATAGGACCTGGCAGCCAACTCAGGCTGTCTTTAGAGTTGTATTCTTCAGTGTTAAACTGTGCTAGATCAGAAGGAGACAGACAAAATCAGGCCTGAAGTTGACACATTGCATATCACATAAGGGCTGAGAAAAAAGAAAAATCCATGAAGCCCAGAAATATATGCATTAAGTGATTAAATGATATAATAATCAGACAAGGGAGTTAAACCCAAAGGAACTCCTTCCAAGGGCCCTACGTAGCTTCATCACAATGATTTCTCAGCGTTGACCCTTGTCTGCTCTATAGAAATTCATACTGATCATTAAACAACAGGACACTTACAGAACGTTTGTTGGAAGTGAGACAGCGTTGGTGCTTCAGGGGCGATGTTGTAGAAGTGAGTTTTCAGAGCACCACTCACGAGCAGATTGTATGCCAGATCGGTGATGTTGATGCCCACAATTGCAAAGGAGTACCTGCAGGTAGGACCCATAAAACCCAAAAGTGTTGCAATATGGGACAGAAGCACTTTAGAAACTGATAACTGGAGCTCTGAATTCCTATTAAACCACCAGTGTGGCCAACCATCTGTCCATCATTACCATATCAACATCTTGTCCTCTGAATCTACCACAAGGTTTTGATAGTGTGTGCTGAGAGAATTGAGAATTCACATGCTTTGCCTTGGTAACTCCACTCCCAAACATACTGTAGGTCAGTGTCCAAAGTGGACAAAGCTTTATACATAAGAATATTTATCATGGCAAGACAGAAACCACTCAAATACACTAAAATGTTTCCTAGAGAAATTAATTATGGTAATTTGTGTTAACTAAATTATGGTAAATTTATAGCTAACTGAAATTGCATTCTTAGAGACTTTAATTAAAGCAAGACACCTGTGTAGAACAAGCCTCGATTTAGTATAGGTGCACATGAGTGCATGGAGAACAGCTAGAATGAAAAGCTATGAGTCCTTATTATGGGTGTGCAAAGACGATAGGAGGGGCTGATGGTCTGAGTTCTGGTCTACATTCCCGCATTTTTCTAAATTTAAATTTTATGTAAGAAAGATTTAAGGTATTACCACAAAGTGTATTTTATTTTCTTCCACAGAAAAGAAAACAGAATTCTTAAATTCTCCCTGTTCTTATAAATCCAGAAATAGTTTTGAATGGAATAGGCAATTAAGAACATATTAATTTGTTTGTTTATTTATTTGTGTGTGTGCATGTGCCACAGCGTGTGTGTGTGTGTGTGTGTGTGTGTGTGTGTGTGTGTGTGTATGCCAAGAGACAATTGGAGCATTCTTTCCTTCTGCACATAAGTTCTTGGGATCAAATTCAGGTCATCAGGCTTGGTGGCAAGCTCCTTTACCTGCTAACCCATGTTGTCAGGTATCTAATGCAAAAATTCAAAACAATTTTTAAATTTTATTTCATCATTTTACAAGTATTGGTGTTTTGCCCGCATGTATATCTTTATATCACGTGAGTGCCTGGTACCCATGGAGGCAAGAAAGCGGCATTGAATTTCCTGGAACTGGAGTTACAGATGGTTGTGAGCTATGTGGGTTCTGAGACTCAAACATAGTTTTGCTGGGTCATAGCTGACAGTCTTCATGTATGGTCCCACACTTACCCAATTGCTTTATCCATCCTTTTCTTTTCCCATTCTGCTTTGCTGAATTTGCTGAAAGAAAGAATGAATAAATAAATGAACATCTAATGTTTAACTTGTTATTGCTCTTTGTATGCTTATATTAAACCATTAGCTACATGTGGAGATACATGTAACTCTATTATCACACTAATCAGTCTGAATATATTACTGCTAAGGCAGTAGTATAAGCTTGATGACACACACCTGGAATCCTGCCATCCCCACTTGTATTGTTGCTACTAGTATATATATATATATATATATATATATATATATATATATATATCCAAACTGATTAGTGTTAGATAGTGTACATATGCATACAGGGAACAGTGTTAACATATGCCAATGCAGGAAGATTTTGAGTTTTAGGCTAGCTTTGTCTCAAAAACAAACAAACAAACAAACAAAACTTTAGCATTGGAGCTACATACAACTTAAATCCATCTAAGCAGGAGAAAGGAGAATTTTCTAAAACAGATGGCAAATGACACACTACAAACACTCATGTACTACCACAGCACACAATCACAGAAACACGGTACATAATGGATATTTACACAAATGTGCTTCGTTCTCTGTGAATGACTGGCTATGACGCCAAGTACTTGCTGGAATTCATAGTAAAATATCCCACCTATTTTTAAAGTGTAATTTCCAACCAACAAAGTAAACTAAAGAGGCACCAGGAGAGTTTTGCCTCTAAAAGATTCATCTTTAAAATGAGTTGAATTATATGTGAAATTTAAAAATTTTGTAAGTATCCATTTTATCTTCAACAAAGCTTCGAATAGTCCACAGTATGTCTGTATTTATTAACTGAAATCTTGTGTCTATATTTGTAAATGAAATCTTTGTATTTGAAATATAATAAAAGGCCAAGTAGCTTCCACTCATTTGATAACTTATAAGATGGCCCCAAATAAACAAGGAAGACTCAACAGGCACTATTCTCCTCTTAAAATTGCATCTACATTTATCCCTCAAGTTTCTTTGGGACCCTATGAATGGTCACAAAGGCAACAATGCATCATGCTTTCTGAAGGACAGCTGGGAATATGTCCACATGTCCACGTCTCACTGCTGAATTTCTGAAATGTGTAGGGTCTGATAGAAGCTATAATGATACCATAATTGCTCAAAATATACCTCTTACAGACAATCATATAAGAAATAGATTAGTGTTTTCAAGACATTTTGATTCACACTTGGTGACCTTCAATATCAGTTTGAAGCAATGAATACAAAAGCCTCTTTCTCTTTGACTAGATTGTAGCTTGAGGGATAAACTAGGTTCTTCACAGAACACACACGAAGGCCAGCCTCCTTAAGAGTGATCCTCAGTCCCTTGAGCCTTCTCTGATGGCTGATGAATGAACCACAACTGCAGAGACTCTGTCTACCTTCTCCTTGCTTGAGGATGGCTCACTGACAAAATTAATCTCCCTTCAACGATCCATTCAAAAACTATTTTTAGCTTATTGTTACTTCCCCAGGATCACAGAGAATCCATGACTCCCGGTTCTGATGTAGGAAACACCACTTGGAAACACATGTAGACTCTCAGTCAACTTTAATTAGGGGAAGTTCAGAGACTCCACAATGCAGAACCATGCAATCCAGAAGATACAGTTTAAAAGCCAAAATAGCTTGAGGTTGATCATGCAATCTACCAAGAAATAGCTAGAAGATTTTAATGTTTTTCTTGAAATAAATAAAAGTCAAGAAGATGAATTTTAATCTCATAAAAGACTATAAATGCAAGTTTGGGAAAGTAATGTAATTTAATTAACCTTAGCCAAATGGAGCTAGGAGGAAGATAATAGTAACATCAGTAAGTAAACCCAAGTCAACCTCTTCCTGAATTTTAAGACTGCTGTAATCAAACTTTAGGTTTATTTAGCCAATAATAACTAAGTGCTATTAGGTGGAGGACAAAAAGTCTAATGGGACCAGGACAATAAAACAGGAGGAATTCTCAGAGAAGCCACTAACTCACACATTAACTACTATTTATAATAATCAAATTGGAAATACATCAATCCAGGCCAGAGGTGGTGGGCCAGGCTTTTAATCCTAGCTCTAGGGAGGTAGAGGCAGGTGGATCTCTGTGAATTTGAGGACAGCCTGGTAGTGAGCTCCAGGCCACCCATGGCTACATAATGAGTCATGTCTCCAAGAAAACCTTACTAATTGAAGACCAAATTTTCACTACGAAAGAAAATTCCCAAATAAAATGTCCCTTGAGGTGATTTGGTCATGTGTGTGAGATGGTCACCTCTTTAGAGGAAGCATTAAATCTCCCTCAAACTGGGTATAGTTCTGGCTACTTGACCCTGTCATTAGATTAGAACAATCAGTCTTTTAACTAATAAAAATGCAGCCCACAAGTAAACACCATATAAGATTAAAAGCTGGTGAATACTTGCCTTTAAAAGTGTTTTTCACAAATCTACTCATTCTAAAACAATAAAAACAACAAAACACAAAAGCAAATAAAAATACCTTATTTCTTCTTTAGTGATATCCCTTCATGTGTTCAGTCAAAGGAAAGAAATCAAGTAAATGCAAATGCAAATATGGTCTTGAACTTTAAAACAAAAAAGCCTTAGAAAACCCAGCTTTCTCTGTGGGGCCTTGACTTTCATTCTTCCTCATGCCACACCACACTCCCTTGTCTCTGAATTCTTTTCTCCATATCTGTCCCTCCATGCTCACCTTTCAATTTTCCTAGACACTCTTGACACACATCTTGCTTGAAGGATACCACTCTGCCTTCTATGTCCTGAAATGAGTATCTGAAGTGCTAACCTTCCTGTTTAGCACCTGTCAAAAGGGCTATTGAGACCACTTTCGTTTGGCTCCCAGTGAACAGGTTCTCCTGATAACATTTCTCTATAGGTCCATGTGGGAAATGATATTTATTGATCCAAAAACCACTAACCCATCTTTTATTTGGAACAATTACCTGCATTTTGGATGAAGAGAGTCGGAGAGGACCTGCTGAGCTACTGTGGCATCCCGTTCTGCGAAATATCTACAGGCAGAGGGAAAGAACACCATGATTGCATTGTCTGCAAGACAGCCACCCTCTTCTGGTGGGAGGCCACTTAGCACCCAAAGGTAGACACTGGCATGAAGTCACCACTCTTCCAGAGCCAGCAGACTTGAAAACTTAATTATAAACTTCATTAATAACCAGACAGCAAAGTTTATAATCAAGCATTAGAGACAAGGGGTTGGGTGGCTCAGTGATTGAAGACCCCTAGAGGCAGAAGTGTGAGAGAAGCAACATGGCCAAGGGGAGAGGGAACTCTAGATCCTTCCCCTGCCCTCCCTTCCCTTCCCCTCCCTTCCTTTCCCCTCCCCTCCGGTCCCCTTCCCTTCCCTCCCCTTCTAAGCCTTCCCCCTCCCCTCCCCCTCCCTTCCCTTCCCTTCTAACCTTTCCCCCCTTCCCCTTCCCCTCCCTTCCTTTTCCCCTTCCTTCTTTCCTTTCTTCCTGTTTTTTCCTAAGACAGTATCCTGCAGCTCAGGTTAGCATTGACCCCATTATATAGTCAGGGATGAGTCCTGATCCCCTTCCTTCTGTCTCCCAAGAGTTAGGATCACAGGCATGCACCACAATGCCCAGTTCCAATGCATCTTTCTTAGAAAGCAAGTACACTGTATTTGAATTCTCAATGATTAGAAAACATCTCGCAGAACTTAGGGATGTTAATAAAATGAAATTTCTGCCTTGGGGGGAATTGGCAATGAACTTTCATGATAAACATAAAAACTCACACAACTTCAAAAGAACTTTATAAAGAGCATTTAACAAAGCAATAATAAAACTATATTATAAAACCAAAATTACTAATGTATGGCTATGTATTTTACCACACAAATCTAAGGGAGGTACAGGAAAATTCAAAACAACACTTTTAGATTTGTTTGCTTATTTCATGTGTCTGTGCACATGTGGAGGTCAGGGGACAATTTAGCGGAGTCAGGTCTTGCTTTGCGATGAATAGGTTCCTGGGCTCAACCCCAGGTCACTGCATGTGACAGCAGGCAATTTACTCTGCTGAGCCATTTCAAGGCCCAGTATTGATGTTTTTAGAGGTACATGTTGAAATATGAGAGGCGAAATGACAAATGGGATAGGATTTTTCACTAACTTTTTTTGTCTAAAAATGTTGCAATTTCTGAATTCAGGTCATCAATATGAATGAGGGTTTTTGCACATGCTTGGAGTTTTTCATAATAAAAGATTAAGAAGACACAGCTAAGAGCTGCTTTAAAATTTTTCTATGTGCCCTCCCCTGATAATGAGATCGATGACTGACTTATATGCCATCCTAGAGCCTTCAGCCAACAGCTGGTGGAAGTAGAAGCAGACACCCACAGCTAAACACTGAACTGAACTGGAATCCAGTTGCAGAGAAGGAGGACTGATGAACAAAGGGGTCCACACCAGGCTGGTGAAACCCACAGAAACAGATAACCTGCACAATGGGAGCTCTGGGTCCCCAGACTGATAGCTAGGAAACCAGCATGGGACTGATTCAGACCCCAGAAACGTGGGTGGCAGTGAGGAGGCCTCGGAAATCTACGGGACCTCCTGTAGTAATTCAGTACTTATCCCTAGCTTAGGTGTGGACTTTGGGAGCCCATTCCACATAGAGGGATACTCCCTGAACCAAGACACACGGGGGTGGGCCTAGGCCCTATCTCAATGGATATGATAGGCTCTGATGACCCCCTCTATGGAAGGCCTCACCCTCCCTGGGGAGCAGAAAGGATATGTGATAGGTAGGGTTTTAGTTGGGGGCGGTAGGGGAGGAGGAGAGGGAGTGGTAACTGGCATTGTCATGTAAAACAATCTTGTTTCTAATTCAAATAAAAAAATTTGCAAAAAAATTTGTTTTCTACAAAGCTTGTTGAAATATAGGCAAGGTGCTGGCAAGTTTGTATGAACCCGAGTTTCCTCTCAGAGGATTTGAATATTCTCCTGGCATCTCTTGGGAAGTGACTTTTGAAATGGCTCTTCTTTGCCATTTCAGCACCAGCAGACCAGCACATTGCTCTAATGCCCAACCATTCTTCATGTTACTCACTGTAAATTATAAAGTCCCAGGAGACCCATTCCTCGAAAATCTGTTTTCGGATCATCACCTTGGAAACCAATCTCACACCACTGCTTAGAAATCCGAGACTCCAGTGGTGTGTTGGGCTTCAGGAACTCCCACAGCTGCAGTGGAAGAAAAGAGAACCACTCTTGGGTGTGTGCACGCAAGTGCCCTGTCTTGTTGGTTCAGATGCTGTGAGCTGTATTTTGACAGGAGGATTTGCAAAGGTGAGTATATGCACATATATTATAATAGCAGTTCTTAAAGGTGACCCAACACCTTTCAGGGTTAGATGGTAAAAAGGCAAACATGTTATTTCATAATACGAACAAGAGGTTGTAAACCTTTACTCTCAAGAATGAACTGTAGAATGCTGTTATGGAGTTGTTGCTTTGAAAGCAATGGAATGCATACATGCAGATGTTAGTGTTTTAAACCTTTATATTTTGTTCCTAATCAATGAAGTAAATAGATAAGTAATATTCTACAAAAACACCCTCTTTGGGGGGGGGCGTCTCTAAAATATTTAAGACTAAAAGAAAAGGAGAATGGAAAATGTTGGGGTCACCTGTTGTCCAACTCCACAGAAACCTTTTTCTAACAGTCCATCAACACGCTTAGCATGAACACCATTAATAAAAACAACAGTGGACCGGCTTGAGTTTCAATTCTTAGGTCTCACCTGTGACAGGAGTGAGAGCAAATAGCATACAGCTAGATAGTGAAACATTAGCAGTGTTCATGAGTGATCCTCAAAACACATTATTGTTTTGAAGGGTTGCCTAAAGTAATTTCATTCAAAATCACCTATATACTAGTGAAAAATATAAATTCACAACATTATACTCTTCACTGCTTTATAAATTTAGTTTATTTTCCACTAGATTTAGCACACACCATAATGATAGAGATAGGTAGACAGATGGCAGGAATTTCGATCCATGGTTCTATATAATATATAATGATTAGAGGTAAACACTGCTCTGAGCCTCCTGACTCAGGTGCTGGGAATCGTGTTTGGGTCCTTTGGAAGGGCAGAGAGCACTCTTAACTGCTGAGTCATCTCTCCAGCTCCACAAATGTAAGTCCATGTATTCATATATCCATAAATAGACTATAAGTTTTATTTCCTTGTGTGTTTTGTGTATGGATGTGTTGTGGTGTGTTTTGTGTGTGTGGACATGTGTGTACATGTCTGTTCATTTGAGTGGGGCCACAGTTTGGTATCGATGGTGTTCTTCAATTGTTCTTTATCTTATTTTTCTTTTTCAACCAGAAGCTCACCAATTCAGCTAGCATGACTGGTTAATGAATTCCAGGGAACCTCCAGAGCATCTCTGACTCCCCTGGTTTGTGGGTTACATATGCACGCCACCCCACTTGGCTTTTGCAGGGTTCTGCAGATTCAAACTGCAGGTCTTCTTGCTTGTACAGTAAGTACTGTGCCGACAGCCTTTTCCCCAGGCCCAAAGATTGTACTTTCTTCTGACTATCTAAGAAATAGTTAAGCTTCTGAATTTTTATTTTATATTCTATGAATCTTAAAGCTTCAACGAAACAGTCATATAACATTATCTTGCTTTATTGTGAATTGTAAGGTATCAGGCACAGTGTAAAGTCTAATATTTAAAAATGGCAGAAACTACAAAGAGGCAGAAATCTGCAGTTCAGAGGTAGAGAGATGGCTCAGTAGGGCACGTGCTTGCTGCACAAGCACGAGGACCTGAGGTTGATTCTCAGAATTCTGTACAGAAGCTTGGAATGATGGCTCCTGCTTTTAATTGCAGTTCTGAGGATGGAGAGAGAGGTAAAACTCTGGAATTTGCTAGCTCCAGGTCAATGAGAAACACAGTCTCAAAAAACAAGGTGGGTGAACTCTGAGGAGTGACACCTGAGGCTGACTTCTCACCTCCACAGTCACATGCATCAATGGGCACACACACTCACACTTGTGTGCCCCTAATCCTGCAATTCACTTTCATGTATTGTGGTTATTACAGACATGACTCTAATATTACTGCTTAATAAGATGGAACATTTATGCTGGTATCACAGTATGCTAGTTCAACCCATCTAAAGGTATAGTGACATAGAGACATCGGGAATAGTGGTACATGCCTGAAATCATAACACGTGGGAGGTTGAGGCAGGTGGATCAGGAGTTCAAGGTCGGCCTTGGTTACACGGTAAATTAAAGGCTAGCCTGTGTTAGCCAAGCTTATAGACTGGGTTAGCAAACTCTGTACATGAGCCTTGTAGCACTTTGGGTAGTGAGCTGTGTGGACTCTGCTGTAATTACTTCTTTTTGTCTTTGTAGTAGGATAGCAGCCAGGGACAACAGAAACACTCATACATGGCTGTGTGACCATAACACACTAATAAAAATGGGTAGTAGGCTAAATTTGGTCCATGGCTTTTGCTTGCTGACTCTTGTCCTAAACAATTTTGTGACACAGAAGCAGGGGTATCCTATCCTAAAGACAAAGCTTGAACTGGGCAATTATACACCAGCACTGGTCAGGCTCTGCGGATACTAGGGTAGACCAGGCATGGTTTCCTCTGAAGAGATAGTACAGTGCAGTGGATGAAACACTTTCTAATGATGTGAGCTTGCATAGCCACTGCTCAGCCTTGGTTTTCTCACCCACCTCTCCAAATGGAGATAATACCAGTACATCAGCACAAGGCACTGTGAGAATTAAGATGGAGAACTCAGTGCAGGCTTTATTGTAGTAACCAGAGCACAGCAAACATCCAGTAAGTGTTTCAATATTATGACTTTATTACTCTTATACTTGGAATTCAAATACCCAGAAGGGCAGAATAAAGATCTCTGTGTGTTTGGGAAAGCTAGACATTATTTCAAAATCCACTGATTAAGGATTAAGGAAGCCAGGTGGCTTCTTCTGTGAGAATAATGAACAGCAATAGAACAGCATGGGCAAATTCCTGGACTCTTGGTTGTCACAGCTTACCCTGTGTTACGGTGAAATACGCTGTATGGAATGGAAGGAGTACAGTACACAGGAGGTTTGAAGGGGTTTTGTTTTGTTTGAGAAAGGATCTTGCACACAGCCCTGACTGCCTTTAAGCCTCAGTCATCTTTGCTCTGGCCTCCCCAGTGCTGGCATTTCAGGTATTTAGGGATAATAATCCATCTCAATGGCTAGACTTGTCATAAAATACTCTCTACCACTATTTAGAAGTGGAAGAGTCTGATAGTCAGGTTCAGAATTAAAAGATTGTAAAAGCCAAGCTGGAGATGATAGCAAGATAGGAGAATGGGCACAGAGCCACTGGAGACATATTTGATGTGCCGTTTGGATAAAAATTATGGATTTCTGTAGATGAAGAACATGTCCTGGTTAGATTGCAAACCACGAAAGGGCAAAAGGGAAAAGCCTGTCCCCAAAGCGCCTGACTCAGAGCTGGTGGTGTGGTGACTCACACCTGTAACCTCAGCATTTTGGAAGCTGAGGCAGGAGAATTACCACAAAGTCAAAAAGACAGACTACTTGGCTACGTTACATAGTGAGTTCAGGACCAGCTCACAATAACATAGTGAGACTTTGTCTCAAAACAATGAAAAACAAAAGGTGTCAAACAAGATGGTAAACAGTTCTGGATTTATTATTTACTAGATATGTGATAGTCAGCCTGAACTAAAATAAATGTAGTTTTCTCACCTCTAAACAAAGAAAATAATCACTACCCTGCTTCTTTAGCCATGACATCAGTATGACAGCATGTTCATACTCAAATTATAGCCACTGATAAATGTTAACAGACTAATCCAGGGGTTCTCAACCTTCGTACTGCTGCAACTCTTTAATATATAGTTCTTCATGCTGTGGTGACCCCAACCATAAAATTATTTTCATTGCTACTTCATGACTGTAATTTTGCTATGGTTATGAATTGTAATTTCAGAAATATCTAATATGTGACTCCTGTGAAAAAGTTGTTTGACCCCCAAAGGGGTCGTGACCCACAGGCTGAGAACCCCTGGTGTTGTCTCATGTGTCTGAAGTGAGTACATTACACTGGCCGAGATAAACTTAAAATTAACAAATAGGATATGGATGTCTGCTATGTGCCATCTTTAGCTGTTCTTAACACATAGCTAAGTGTGATGGCTAATCTTGCCTGTCACTTGACCACATCTGAATGAACAGAAAACCAAACAGCTGGGCACATTTGTGAGAGATTTTTCTCAGATGGAGCACTTGAGATGGGAAGACTCATCCTAAATGAGACTGGACCACATAAAAGGATATGGAAGAGGGACATTTCTGCTTTTTGCCTGCTTGCCCTTGAGATGGCAAGCTCATCTCCCCTGTTCCTGGGCCTTTGCTGGCGCTAGGACCACCAATTCTATCAGTTGCTTCAGGATTTCAACACAAACTGAAAATTGACAGCTCTCTAGGAATTCCCTGGGACTCCAGCACCAGATTGGAACTGATGAGACATCCAGTCTTGCGGACTCTACAACTATAGGATACATCAGGGGACAGCCATTGTTGGATTACTTGAACAATAGCTGGCAAGCCACTCTAACAAATCCCATATATCAATTCTGTCAGTTCTTTTACTTTAAATACCCTGACTTATTCACTAAGAAATTTCAGTAAATCATGCATTCACCCCATTCCCCTTTTTGCTGAACACCTACTATAAGCCAGTTCACATACCAGACAAGCCACATAGCAGGCATCCAAATACCATCAGCTAATTTTGAGTCTATCTCAGCCATCGTGAAGCATTTCAGACATGTATAACCAGGCTGTTAATTCATTTCATTTTCATTCCCCTTGATCCTAGCTATTATAACATGTTGTTAAGTTTGACAACCTCCATCAGAAAACAAGCAGGGGATGGGCAATAGGAGAAGGCAGAACTCAGCAAGCAGGCTAGCTGAAATTAACAGGAGAGAAAGAGAAGAAGGCATGCTATTGCCAAGAATGAGGTTTCTTCATTTTTAATGATCACCTCAGATCCAGCACTAATTAGAGACAAATGAATCACCGACTTAAGTACTTGTATACACAAAAACACACACTCTTTCACACAAAACATAAGATGCATTAAAAAGTTACATCTGTTGACATTTCCAGTTAAACAAAGGCGGGACAGATAAACAAATGCTTCCTTCTCTCTCTCTTTTTGAGATAAATCATGTATATGTCTAACAGTGTATGACTACACATACGTGAGTGCAGGTGCCTAAAGTGGACAGCAGAGGGCATCAGATCCCCTGGAGCTGGAGTTAGTGGCAGCCGAGAGCCACCAATTTTAAGCAGCATGCTCTCTTGATTGAGTCATCTCTCTAGCTCCTCCCCTAGTTTGTCACTGCGTATTTAAAATTTAGGAAGAGACAGAGGACCACTTGATGCCAGGAGAGTATCTATTTTCAGAAGTGAATGTCTAAAACATTTTAATTTAGTCAGTACCTCCAATTGTTGCTTTGAATTTTATTCTTGGGGCTTTATTTACCTCATACTTTGGTGTTTTGTGGGAAGTTTTATTGCCACTTGATGATGCTGCAGCATCAAGGTTCATAAGATTTGAAGCAAGGAATGCTTACAACTCCACATTACCTTCCTGGCAGTTTTAATGTGCCGAGTATAAACGTTTAACCTGCTCTTTGAATGTTTGCCAAGTCACATGAATAAATAATCAGCGTGAGGATCTTGGGTAATTTCCCCAGAGGGCTATTGCTGAAGCAGACATCAACCTTATTGTCTTTGATGTGTATTGGAGTCGTAAGTAAAAACCCCATGACACTCTGACAAACACTATCTCGTTTCTCCCACAGCTTTCAACACATTTGAAACAGTCCACACTTGAGCCAAGTGTGAGGCGCCCTCCCCCACAGAAATCACCTCCGATGCTTTTCCCGGATTATAGAAGTCTCCTGGCTTCAACGTTAATTTCTCAGATGAATTTTCTTATGAAAAATTTACCCCCCAACCATCGAGAGAAGCCGCCTTGCCAATCTGCCACAGCCTTATTCATCTTTGTATCCTCAATGCGCAGAACAGCCTGGCCTGAGAGCCGGGCAGCCATTGGCTGATGTTAGAGAAGGACTCACCTTCAAAAGCATCTCTTCGTGCTGGGGGTTGTCGGAATCGTAGGGCTCTCTGCGCAGTTTTTCCACATCTGCAATGAGGTTTCTGTAACCCACGATTTGCAGAAGGCAAGCCTGGAGAGAGATTCCCAACCTAAAATACACAAGAACTAAGTGTGAGGCGAAGAGGGCTCCTGTGGTGTTGGCATTTGCTCACTTGATGCCTGCATGCGAGCATTTGTGGTGTAAATATTTTCACGTCCATGTTCAGGAGGGCATATCCATGTACATATTCACCCTGGCCTTTTCACCTTCCTTGTTTAGTTTCTCCGGACAGGCCCTCGTGGTGCAGTCCAGACTGCCTAGAACTCACTCCGTAGCCTAGGCTGGCCTCACATTCTAGACAATCCTCCTGCCTCAGCCTCGCACCATGCTTGGCTAGATGCACACTTTTTGTTGAACTGTGAAAATCCTTTCCCTTCATTGTAGCTTCTTCTTAAGTGCAAGTTTCAGTTTGGCTTAAAAAACAAACAAGGGAGGCCTTCAGGAAGGTGGCTTGAAAGATGTAAAAACAGGGCTGGCAGAGTCTTAGGGACCATTTAGGTGGGTATATTGCATTTACTTCAAAAGTCTGTGTATGAGAAGGAGAGAGAGGAAGAGAAGGAAAGAGGGAGGGAGCCCTCAGGAAGATTCTGGACAAGAAACTTTTCTGGACAAAATAAAAGAAACAAAAAATGGCAGTGGTGCCGGCTGTGGGGAGGTGGCCCTGGTGACATCACCTCTGTGAAGAGTGTCCCAAGAGGGGAGGGAGTGCCATGAGAGACATCTTTCCTTCACAACATTCCTTCCATAATCCAACCAGTCTACACATCTGCATATTTTCTTATGTGGAAACAAAATTTGCTTTTTTTTTTTTTAATTACCAAGTAGATGGAATTCTGTGCTCAGAACAGATTTACCTCCACCATTCCCCTACCAGGCCTTACTTGTTTTATAATGTCTATCCTTCTAGTCCAGGGGTTCTTAACCTTCCTAATGCTGCGGTCTTTTAATACAGTTCTTTGTGTGGTGGTGACCTCCAACCATAAAATTATTTTTATGGCTACCTCATGACTGTAATTTTGCTACTGTTAGGAATCATAGTATCAGAAATATCTGATATGCAGGATATCTGATATGTGACCCCGTGAAAGGGTCATTAAACCTCCAAAAGGTCAAGACCCACTGGTTGAGAACCACTGTTCTAGTCTCATTTCAGGGCTAGAAAAAAAAAAAAAGCCCAATTCTTTCAATTCCCTCTCGTGGGGTATGGCTTCTGATTCATACAGAACACATTCTGCTGTGAGTGCATGGTATGTTGACTATATCTATATCTATGCATGTATATGTAACAATAATAATTAGAGAAAAGGAAGCTATGAATTTGAGAGAGATTAGGAGGTAGAGCATGGGAGGGAGAGCTGGAAAGGAGAGTAGAAGGGAAATGATGTAATTACATTTTAATTAAAAAATAAAAGCTAGTTTTAAAATTTTAATAAGATTTATTTATTATTTGTGTGTGTGTGTGTGTGTGTGTGTGTGTGTGTGTGTGTGTGTGAATTTATGTGCACCATGTGCATATGGGTGCCTGCAGAAGCCAGAAGGGGGCATCAGATCCCTTGGAACTAGATTTATAGGTAGCTGTGAGTTGCCAATTGGGGCCTGGGAACCAACCTCAAGAACCTCTGGACTAGAAGGATAGACATCATAAAACAAGTAGGGCCTGGTAGGGGAATGGTGGAGGTAAATCTGTTCTGAGCACAGAATTCCATCTACTTGGTAATTAAAAAAAAAAAAAAAAGCAAACTCAAGTGGGAGCATTAAATGCTCCTAACTGCTGAGCCATCTCTCCAGCCCATGAAAAGATTTTAAATCTGTATTTACTATATAATTAAATCAACTTTAACGTCCGAACAAGGAAAAGGTACAGCTTACTGGCTCATGAGACTACACAAAGCAGCTGTAGAGACCAGGAAGAAATGGAGTTTTTTGACTGAGCTCTTGGATAGATGGAGAGAAAAATCAGTGCCTAACATACTCTGAAATTCCCTTCAACTCTGTCTCCATCTTGGTTATTAACAGTCTTTCCCAGCAGTGACATCTGAAGTCCTCATGCACATAGATCCATGAGACAGTTTGATTGTTACCAACCTCAAGCTGAATCTAAGTATACCTGCATTTAGAATTAATTCTCCTTAATGCCTTTAAGGTCCAAATTTTACTAAAAAATTGCTGCACCCAGCGGAAAATATAAAGCTAATTTTAAATGTCACGAACATTGCCAAATGCATTTAAATACTTCCAAGATGAGAGGAATAAATTATAGAGTTCTAAAGTATTCATATAAAAACCATCTCTTCCTCCCACACATGCCTGTCTTCTTGACAAGCAGGTAGGAACTGTCTCCAAGATTTTCAGCTTGGCATGATGGAATATTCATGAGGGAACTGAAGGACTATTCTAGAAGGAGCAGAATCAGTGTAAGCACATTTATGATTTGAGCATATGAGACTAATAATGTAAAGCACAGAAATCAAGTGACGTCCTGCTAATGAATGGGCTTACTTGATCTCATATTTTGATATCAGCTTGCACACCCCTTTTTTCATTCATGGCAAGAGGACCATAAGCTTACAAACCAGAAGCCTAAAGTCACTGCCATTTACAAGCATGAAGCATATTTGTTTTACTTAATATTCACCCAGAAGTCAAAACACTGCAGATAATTATTTTAAAGAGGGGGAGGAGAAGAAGAGTGGAGGGAGAGAGAAAAAGACAGACAGACACAGTCGTGTGATTTGTGTTCTGTATGTCTCCCATGAAAGTCCAGTTCTTACTGTGGGTTGATGTCAGGGTTAATTTGTTTCAGTTCCATGATGTCGTCAATAGTTTTTTCGATGGCATCGGGGTGAACACTCACTGATGTCTGCAACAGCTGGAAAACATCTTTCAGTCAGTTTCTTTCATTAGCATCAGTGGCTTAAATAATACCTCTTGGGATGGAGGCTTCAAGTACTACACTTCTGTATGAAAGTAGGCACTAAAAACAGACTGATAGAGAGTGTTTGAATTCCAGTACATTTTGTGTTTCCACAGCTGGGGTAGTGCCATCTTCCCAGTCAAGGTATTTGACATAAAGCAGGCACATAGAAGGTTTATGCTTGCTTTGTTCTTTTCATTGTCATTCGTCTTAAGCTATTTACACTGGTATGGTTTCCTTTTCACCTGATAGAATGAGGTCCCTGGGGAACATAGTTTAAAGGTTGCCAAAGTTAAAGAAGATCAAGAATAAAATTACAAAGCATATTTTTCCCTTATGTAGATAGTCAACTGTGTACTATTTTTTTTAAAAATTACTTTTTTTTCTATATGTATGGGTGTTTTATCTGTGTGTATGACTATGCACCATGAGTGTGCAGTGCACTTGGAGGTCAGAAGAAGGTGTCAGATACCCCAGACTGGAGTCACTGATGGTTGTGAGCCCATCTGGGTGTGGGGAATCCAATTTGGGTCCTCGGAAGAGCTTCTAGTCACTGAGTCCACTCTTCAGCCCTGTGCTGTTATAACATTCCTTTTTTTCCTTTTGGTTTTTTGAGACAGAGTGTCCCTGTGTAGCTTTGAAGCCTGTCCTGGAACTCACTCTGTAGACCAGAGTGGCCTTGAACTCAGAGATCTGCCTGTCTCTGCCTCCCAAGTGCTGGGATTAAAGGTGTGCACTACCACCGCTGGCTGTTATATTATTATTTTATGATTTAAGAGGTGGTATAAAATGAGTTTATTCAACACTAGACTAAACTTTACAAGTCTGCCTAGAAACTGTTACATCTGTAAAAATGTATATTACTTTGTTTATATTAACTTCTTGTCAGTGATATATTTTTGTCCTTGCAATTTTAATTTTAGTTTTTATTGTCTTAGAGTATTTTATTCCACTGTGTATATAGCTGTGTGGGGTGCACACACTACACAGCATTTGTGGAAGTCAGAGGACAGTCTGAGGCGTCACTTCCTCCACATGGGACCTGGGGATCAAACCCAGGCTTAGTGGCAGCCACCGTTACCCACTGAGCCATGTCATTGATCCACAATTTTTATGTTTTATGATCAAGGTAAGCCCCTCAGTGAAATACTGAAAAATGAAGAAACAATTTACTTACCTTACTTTTCGAATCCCGCAGTGATGTTTCTGTTAAGGTAATAACATAGACACACACAAATGTTATTAGCTATAACCAGTTATGAGTGTTTGAATATTTTTACTTAAATATTATATGGCATTCTCAATCCCACCACCGTGAACTCTGCCTTCCCTTACACTCCTTGCTCACCTATTTTCATGGTTCTAGATGCTCCAGGTTTGGTGCTGTAGCAAATCCTTTGCAGCTCACACCTTCCTGTGAGCTTCCTCATCACAAACTTCATGCAGCGCCACAAAAATTTACAGTAAAAATACAGGCAAACCTGGATCAGCATCCTGCGGGGAACAAAAGACAGCGCCCTTCCGATAGAAAGCTGGGAGAGAACAGAAAGCAACCACCACCAGCAAGAAAAGCAGCCGGGAAGAAAACCAGCCATTAGACTCAGTGTCCACAGGTGTTCATCACTCCACTCCTGACAGGGACAGTTACCATAGCTACACAACTCCAACAAGTGAGGGGAAACCCTAGGATTCTGTCTTCTCCCATCTTTGTCTAAATATTTTGGCAATCAATCAGTGTTAATATGGCCTCTGCCTGAGACATAGGGTGTGGGTGCCTCTTCTTGCAAGGAGGAAATGGCTGTTCACTCCCATCCCCACCCTGTCATCTTCAGCCTTAATTCCTTAATGTCCTCCACCCATGCCCCACTGCTGGCATTTTCTCCTTTCCTTTCTCTCATCCTTTCCACTCTCTCTATGCTTTCCCTGGCCTCTGTTCTTCTCCTTTGGTTGTGTGGCTACTGCCTTCCTCGCTGACAACTCCCAACATGCCTTGCTTCTGCCCAAAGGCTTTCTCATCAATCTTCAGAGGCAGCATTTTTGACCTTTCATTCTTACTCCAAGAGGACAATGTCCTCTGATTTAAATTTTTCAGAAACTCTATGGGAGTCTTTTCTGGGCTCCTACAAAGCACCATGTTCTTTACCACACACCCCAACTCACTCCAGTGACACCTCAGCAAACTATCACGTCTCCAAACATGTGTGTATTCACATGTAACATACATCCCATCTTTCTCCAGTGACACCTCAGCAAAACACCATGTTTCCAAGCATGCGTGTATTCACATGTAACTCAACTCATGACTTTGTTTTTTTATGTAGATTTTTGATTTAAAAATGGAAGTGCCTGCTACTTTCTGCTATTGTTTAGAATCTCATGGTGAATCAGGCTTTTAGAGACAATGACAACCTGTCACTCAGAATGTTATGTTCAGCCCCTCTTCACACTGTTCCTAGGAGACAGAGATTTATCTATTACTTTCCATTGATTTCATTTTTCTTTTTTCCCCCAAATGTTCTCTGATTTTCTCTTGTTCCAAAATAAGTGTTTAGGGCTATTTGGATCAATTACAGTGGTTAGCATTCTTAACAATGTGTCTCATTTAGTTGGCCAATTAGTCATTTAATTTGGTTATATTCATGTATTTGAATTGTTCTGGTTCTAATATCATCAACAGCCTTGTGTTAAAAGTAGAGTCTAATGTGTATAAAGGCACAGGGGTTAGATTTTATAAACACAAAGGAAATGATGAAAAGAAGGAGCACAGCATCCAAACTGTTCCACAAAGAAGATACCATGGAGTACTCCACAGGCAAGAAAATCACACCTCAGGGTAGCAAATAACATGAAAAGACTCATGATATTTACTTGATAGAAAAAAAAAACTGCACATGTAATGACCTAGATTTCCTCTAAGAAGTAAAACAACTTTAATAGTGATATGTAAGCAGCAGGACAGGGCTGGCCAGCTACCAGATGAAATGTTAATAACAGTATTGTTCATTATAGGAGTCATCAGCAGGAATTTCTTCTTGATTTACTAAGTATACTTTCTTTTTCCTAAATATTTATCTTGAGAAACATGAAAATAATAAAAACCCTAACGTGCAAAATGATCACCAAACATCATTATTAGTCATGCTCTTTCTGTGTTCAGCCAGTTACCATGAAACTGACAGAATGTTGCACTTACTGTGTTGACCAAGCCTGTTATTTAAGTGTTCAAGTCAAATATATTCTGAGCTCTGGTAGGATTCGGGTAAACAGGTTTCAAAAAAAGCTACCCTAAAAGATAGTTAGTAGAACATTTTAATTATGCATGCTCATTTGGAAAACAAATGCTATTTTCTATCTTTTGGATTACTATTCCAGAAAAAAACCATGGAGTTACATCTTTGTTGATTGGTCTCCAGCCAAATGCCCATGACAGTAATCCTGGGAAGTATTGTCCTGTTATAAAGAAGGGAAGCGGTCATATCTGTTCTGTGTTCTGAGTCAGTTTTCAATGGCAAATGGCCTCAGCATGTGGATCAAGTCCAGACAACGCCCCCTTTCAAGTCTGTGCATCAGGACTCTACATCATGATCTTTGGGTCCTTATAGAAATAAATCTCCCAAGAGTTAAAAGGCTCTGAGAACTGCTTATAAAGTGCTATGGTTTATGACTTGAACATTCTCTAAAGGCCCATGTGTTAAAGCCTTGATCCCTAGGAAGGGACTTTTGGGACCTAGCAGGAAGGCTTTAGGTCACTGGGTGCCTGTCTGTGAAGGTGACTATGGGAGCCTGCCCCTCTCCTCCTCCTTTTCTGTGTGGCCATGAGATGAACAGCTTTGCTCCTTGGGTACCTCCAACCTGAAGTGCTGCCTCACCAGAGGCCCAGAGTGACAGGACACAGTCATAACTTCAAAATTATGAGTCAAGTAAATCTCACTGAAGTTGCTCTCAGGTATTGATTATAGCAAGAGAAGCTTATTAACACATGGAGCTCCTTCATCGTCACTCTACCCAGGGTAAAGGCACCCGCCATTTCACAGCTTAAATTAAGCTCCAGGATGGCTCCACTGTGACTACTGCAATGGGCCCACACAGATGTGTGGCTTGAGACTTAGTTGTCATCCTAGGTGTCAGGAAGTGTCTGTCTGTAGAGTGACTTAGAGCTGGGTATCATTTCTTCCCCAGGTCTCCTTGTATTGCAGGAGAAAAAAAAAAAACCCATGTGGTTTTCATAAGCAGATGAAAGACATCCTATTCTATTTGCTTTTCTCTGTCTCTCTTTTCATACTCACAAGGATATTTACATTGCTAAAAGTAATGAAATGCAGTAGAAATGTCACGGTGGGACTTAGGACAGAAGCATCACTCTGAAGGTGTACAGAAGACTGTGACAGCCCATAGTCACATGAACCACACCACAAAGCACAAATGACAAACTCCTAAATGAATTTGCACTCACACACTACCTACTCTTTGTAACACTATTCGTTATCCAAGATAAATTTAAATTTCCCCTTATTTTTCTCTGGTTTTTTTGAAAGAGGCAAAGTTTGTTTTAAAGACTTATTTTCTTATGTGTATGAGAGTTGTGCCAGCATGTGTGTATGTATACCACATGTGTGCCTGGTACCTGGGAGTTCAGAAGAGGGAGTTGGATCCCCTGGAACTGGAGTTAGGGATATTTGTGAACCACTGTGTGGGCGCTGGGAGCCAGACCAATGTTCTCTGCAAGAGCTACAAGTGCTCATAACTGCTGAGCCAGTCCCTGCCTTATTTTTCTAATGAGCCAACATCCATAGTCATTTCATTTAAAGAACAGCTTGCCATGCTAAGTATTATAATTTTTTTGTTCTGTCTTTAAAAAAAAATCACCAGATGAATCAATATTTTGACAGACATAATCTTTTTTGTCTTTAGTGTGTAGGTCTGGTCTAGGCAAGGCATGCTTGAAGGTAAGCTTGGAGTTCCCCACTACATTGGCAGTTCTATTTTGAGGACAGAAACTATATCCAACTTTCTACCAGGCAGAAAAAGCAGATTAGCACAACTCCGGTATGAATGGCTTCAAGTCCCAAAGCTATGAAGTTTGCAGGGGAAACTGGAGATGGTCAAGAGCAGAACAAATTTTAAAATGGTGGCAAGTTTTGTGAGATTCTTAGCTACTTTGATGTATTACTCTGAGAAGGAAGAAATTAAAGAACAGATCCATGGCTATGTTTTTCCTTTCTGATTGAGGAAGGCCAGGGACGGGGCGAGGGAGGAAGGATCTGTCTAGTTCTTAGGGTGGAGGAACACTCAGACTCACTCTTCCACATTTCCATTGTGGGTTTTTGTTTGTTTTTTTTTTTTTTTTTTTTTTTTTTTTTTTTTTTTTTGTGAGACAGGGTTTCTCTGTGTCTTTGGAGGCTGTCCTGGAACTAGCTCTTGTAGACCAGGCTGGTCTCGAACTCATAGACATCTGCCTGCCTCTGCCTCCCGAGTGCTGGGATTAAAGGCGTGTGCCACCACTGCCTGGCTCCCATTGTGTTTTATGCCCTAAGGTTTGAGAGGAGGCATCGGACACACTTGAGTGACAGACCCCGTTGGCTTTCTTTTCACAGCCAGTCATCCTGTTCTTCTATCTCTTGCCACTCCCACAAACAACCCACCCTCAGAGGGGCTTCTTCCAGCTTGAATCAGCAACAGATAAAAGCTTAGTTTTCAGAACACTTGCTTTTCTCCATTCACTACTGATGAAGTCTGTTAGATTTTATAAGAATTCTCAGGACTAGAAGGCAAAGCCTCTGACAGTCACTTATGCACAGGCAGCAAGGTTTTGCACTTGCTTCTGATTTTCAATCTTGTCTTCCTGATAATGTTCCAGAGTAAGGAGCTGCAGCCTCTGAGCAGGGATGCCTTGCTGAAGCACAGGGGGACTTTGATTCAATAGTAAATGCTAGTATACATCACCCATTTCCAACGTTGTCAGCTACTACTGTTTATTAACACACTGTACAGTGGGGTTTATTGCTGAGTTCACAGCAATGTTCTTCCATAAAACAGTTTTGACTACGTTTAGTATTGAAATTCAATCTCTAGCCTGAACCAGAATAGCATCCAGTGTAAATTATTGAAAATGAATCATATTCCTGTCACCAAATAAAAGTGAACTCCTGTCTGGGCTGCTTCGTTAGAGGAACATTGTCAGCAGGAACGGGGGGTCTCAGAAAAAGGGGATTCAGCTAGAGCTAGGTCGTGCCTCACTCTGAGGGTGAGGGGTGGGTACCTATGTTGCACACTACTCCATCATCTTAAATGTGGGGATCTGACGTCTTCATTTGAAATGATAAGAGAAAACAGGGTTTAAAAATATAGTTTCATTGAATGTGCTAATGAAAGTCAATTCTTGCTTGGAGAAATCCTGCAATAAACAAGAAGCAGACTCTTGGTGAGAAAAGGAGATATCCAAAGGGTAATCACAGTTTCTCAAGTGAAATACTTCTCATGGAAATGAGCACTG